CCCCTGAGGTGAGAAACACCAGCGCGAGACGCGAGCGAACTAGCCTTTACACTTTACACTTTTTTAATTGAATTACAGGAGACATAAAATAATTAGCCTCGAGTCGGGTAACATCATTAACGTGGGCCCAGGCCGGAGGTCGACCGCTCATTTAAAATTTTCATTTTTCTCCTGACACTTTCGGGACGGCTTTATGACCGTTGAGAAGTTTATGGGTTGTGTTGCCGGTTGTGGCCTTCGACCACCAAAAGTGTCTGCTTATGACTGACCATAATTTGTTCGGGTATTGAATAGGAGAACATGAATATTACCTCACAAACATCACAGGATTTGGAAGGAACGCGGCTTGTCAACCACAGCTGTTGTATATGTATAACAAAAAATGGATCAAGTCAGTCAAAAAGACTCATACACTTAGCACATAGTCCCCACCCATTTGATTATGTTGCCGTCTAGAAATTTATTATTATTATTATGTCTTTATTGAGTATTGTTATATACAATACAGAAATCTGCAACAGGGCGAAGTCTAGCCTAAGCTACTCTACTTAACCCTAAATAAAAGCTAACAATGAAGAAAGCCACAGATAATACATAAAATGCAATCATCAGAAGTGATCAAAAACAAAATAGCATAGAAAATATGAGATAATTTGAATGAAAATAAACAAAAGCCTAAGTCACAAAACCGCAAAGCGAAGAGTATATAATCAAAAACTATTGAACTATCCATTGACTATTGTAATAAAATTGCCTTACCAGGACTTTAAACATCGGTACAGAACTAAACTTAAGCGCGTCATCGATACTATTGTATATAGTAACAGCATTATATGAAAAAGATTTTCTAAATAAAGATAAACGAAACTTAGGAAGAGAAAGTTTATTAGTGAACCTCGTATTTAAATCATGCAAATCACGCCTAAAGACTAATTTTCTTTTCAGGTAAGCAGGGCTCTGTGATGATAAAATACGGTGAACTAAAATAGAAGTATAATATTTATGAGTATATTCCAGTTTTAACCATTTTAACTCATTTATTTTAGCAGAGATTCGATCAAACTTTTTGAGCCTAAAAACAAATCTACAACAGCAATTTTGTACCTTTTGAAGTCTGTATTTCAAAATAGACGTTAAGAAGGGATAATAAAGCGTGATTGCATGATTTAAAATAGGTAACACTAGGCTCTCTGAGAGCTTTTTACGTAATTTAAAATTTAAAATACCACCATTTCGATACAGTAGCCTTAAAACTAGGTAAGTCTTTTTCACTAATAGTGAGACGTACTCTTCAAATCTGAGCTTACAGTCGAAAATAACACCAAGATTCTTTGCACTATTAACTACTGAGACTGATTTTCCATTTAATGTTAAGTCGATATGCTGCATAAAAATTTCATAACATGGCGGAGAGAAGATAACAACTTGACATTTATCTGGATTGAGGTTTAAGTTGTGATTAAATGAATATTTTTGGATATTTTCTAAATCTTGATTAATATAAGCAGATGCGGTATTTATTTCTACTGCCCTACAGGCAGAATCGATCATCTGGCAACCTTGCTATGACTAACCTCGCCACTCGCCAGCCATCCTTCGGTCAATCCTTGGCGCAGTTATACTGTCGTTCAATCCGTTGCTGGGGCGCGTGTGTTAAAAATATTTCCTCTGTCAATCTAAGTTTTAAGGGCAAATGTACTGGGACATCTATCATGTGTGAAATATTTCTAACAGGTGCGTAGAATTATCGGGGTTGGAAACATATAAATCCATTATCGCAATATGCACTATCCCATGTCTTACAACTTCCAGCCCCCAGTCTTTAACTCCCATCATTTTTTTCTTCTGAAAAGAAAAAAGTTATAGTGATTTATACAGGGTGTAAACGTTATGGTAGTCAATTATCGAACCGGCAATCGATCGCAACGGTAACAGTGGTTAGTTGTTGTTTTGTTTTTGTTCGCGTACGTCGTCTTTTTTATTTACAATGTTCTCGAATCAAGAGTTCGCCGACATGTTGTTAGTTTACGGTGAAGCTCGTCAGAATTCAAATCTTGCAGCTCAAATTTATCGCAACAGATTTCTCCAATCGAGTACACCCAGACAGAAGGAGATTTGTGCAAGTGTACCAAAGTCTTCGAGATACAGGAAGTGTTCAGCCCTCTAATATTCGCACTCGTGAAAGACAGGTTACTGGAGAACAGGAGGAACAGATTTTAAATATCGTAGAAATCAATGCAGATATCAGCACTCGGGAATTAGGCCGCCGCGAAGGACTATCGCATACCATAGTCCATAGAATCCTACACGAAAATTTGCTTTATCCCTACCATGTACAACGAGTGCAGGCCATGTTACCTATCCTCGCAGACTAACATTTTGTCAGCTGTTTTTGCACAAAAACATTGAAAATCCGGATTTTTTTAAAAACATTTTAGTTACGGACGAATGTACTTTTACGCGAGACAAAATATTAAATTTCCTAATACGCCCAAGAAAATCGTAATACCATTCGTGAAGGTCATTTCCAACAACGTTTTAAAATAAATATTTGGCCGGATATTCTTGACGATCAGGTAATTGGCCCTTTCGAGTTCCCCCAAAGTTGACAGGAGAAGGATACCTTAGATTTCTAGCCAATAACCTACCAGCACTTTTGGAACAGACCTTAGACAACATACCATTACAACGGAGACAGAATTTGTGGTTTCTTCATGACGGGTCACCACCACACATTTTTAGAGGCGTCATTCAGTATCTGAATGCACTTTATCCAAATCGGTGGATCGGTCGAAATGCCCCTGATCCTCGAAAATGGCCAGCAAGATCTCCTGACCTCAATCCGATGGATTTCTGGTATTGGAGAGAACTTAAAGGGATGGTTTATGGGGCTGGTCCAATAACAACTGAAGCACAACTTCGCGAAAAAAAATTTAATGCGGCTGAAATAATAAATGGACAACTTCGAGGACCTAGAGTAAGAAGAAACTGGGTTCGTCGTAACGAAGCTTGTTTGGAGAGTGGAGGACGACATTTTGAACACCTTCTTTAAATACAAAAAAAGTGCAGTGTGGGTTTTAAAAATAAAAACAATGTATGTATCAAAATTGTGTTCCCTATTTATAAGTGGATTTTTTTAATACGTTCAATAAACTTTCACACAGCAGGTGAAGCGCTGAGACAGTTAGTTGTAAGTCTGTTTTTTTTTAATTGTTTGCATTTTACGAGTACATTATCAAATAATGAAATAATACCTAAGAGCCAAAAATAACAAACTCCATCTTCATTTACACTGCGTTCCATCGTAATTTGTGTCTGGCATTGCGGCGTTGTCAGATTTTATTTTACTTTAAAGTCGCTTTTCTTTAAAAAATGCCGTTTTGACCCCCATGTTATGCGAAACTTTTTGGTCACTGGATCGATTTTCAAAAACTACAAAGTTCTGTATCAAAATTTCTTTAACATGTAAGCGATACTTTCTAAGTTATAGAGACAGCAGTGAGACAGACTGACTCAAATGTACATGTACGTGTCAAGTAACATAAAAAATGACGTCAAGTAGATTGACTCTAACTTCCTTACGCCTTCGTTTTAGATTTCAAAGAAAAGGAATAGGTCACGTCGTTTCCAAAGGCGAATCGTGATTAGGTGGGTTCAAATATATAAATATGATCCTGTATCTAGCGGTGTGTCAGTGACGACACTACCGCATAATCACCAATTGGAGTTTGTTACCCATTACACAGTCGACAGTGGCCTCCAAGACGGTGAAGCATTGCGCAGTGCACGCAACGCCAGTGATTGCAAGTTATTTTGAATTATGTGCACGTTATACATCGAAATTTTATCATTTAATTTTGCCGTTGCTACGGGGATCAGAAGCTTCCTAATGGTAGAGCCTTTGACTGATACAAAAGATGTAACATTTACAGCCCCCTACCACCTGCAATCGCCAACCACGCCAGTTTCAGTACCTACAAGGAAATTTCCGAAAATAATCAGCAGCTTCTGAAACGTCAAGAAATCAAGATTGAACGATTCATATTTTTTCGTGTTTTTGCCCCTAACTTCGCCGCCACTGGACCGATTTTTAAAAACTATGTTTTTTCATCCTTGGCCTAGTAGCAACCTCGTGTGAAAATTTTATCAAAATCTGGGCGGTACTTCTCATGTTTAGGCGGTTATAAGATTAGTGGACAGACCGTCAGACGGAAATGGGTAACATGGTGTTTCGTGATGCAAATCTACCAGTTGGCGCAGGAAGTAAAAATAATACCTCATTTTAGTGATTACAATACTTTCTCGTCAGTGGCGTGAGAAGTAAACCTGGGTTATCTGTTTAGAACTTTGTAATCTTAGCTAGTCAGTCAAGTCTATTTTCTTCATGTTGAAACTAAATTAGCATCGTTTTTACTTCTTCATTATTGTGGAGCATCATTACAATCTTCAATCTATCAATTTTCAGAAAAGCCTATACTTGGAGAATATCCTGAACCTCCTTTTCTTCTGGCTACTTTTAGTAGCCAATACGTTCCTAGATCCACCGTATATTTTTATTACACCATCAAGCCCTTGCTTTAATACTTCAGTTTTGTACTACCAAACAACGCATCACCATATGCAACATTCAAAAGTAAATCACTCCGAACCCTATTCCTGTAGGGTGAAGCTACCACGTATACAAAATCATGTTGTTTCCCACCTTATTATAGATAATCCACCGCACACGGCATATCACCCCTAAATCCCATTAAATCGCACGTGCAACCGCGTCGAATAAGTCACGTGTCTTCATCAGATCCACCATCTCGCTACCTGTAATTAGAACGGATACCGTTGTGACATGATAATACCCCATAAATTGATCTCAAAGAAATCTCCTCCCTCTGCTGTCGGAGAAATATTATACGAGTGATACGGTTTTGTTCGGAATAAATATGTGGTATGGGGGATCTGCTGAGAAGATGCTGACTTGTTTATCATCCATATCTCTTACATAGATGCCACATGAAGTGCCGCGCTCTGATTTAGGCCTAGGCGTTACCACCGAGAGTACAAGGCCAAACAACTGGGACGTAAAAAACCTGTGACGTCACGTAGAGTAGGCCTATGCCTATGTTCTTATGGAGTTTCGAGATGCTGGCTGGCAAGAGAGCAGCGCCACCATTTCTCTGCGGTGTTGTCATATCTAGATTTGATATAGCAGTATCGAAATCTCTACTAATTAGTTGTACCTCACTGTGGGCGAATTTACAAAATGTACTCGGGCCTGCGCAGCTTCAGTGATGATATGATTATTCTTTCTGATCTGCCTCAATATGTCAAGAATACATTTTTGATATTACGTTCAATCTGTTACTTGTGTGGTCTAATAATTGAAATATGTGGCAACCTTGGTAACACCACTAACATCTGAGCCTCTCTTATGTATCTTCCTGTGCTATGTAAATTGTAAATTATTGATGTTTTAAACTTATATTTGAGTCTCGCGATTGTTTAGCTAAGTTTTCAAAATGCCTTACAAGTGCTGCGTTCCTAATTGTGCCGGTAATTACGGGAAGGGTCCGAAGGTACACGTATTTTCGTTTCCATTAAATGAAAACTGTAATAAAAGATGGCTCGAAGCAATCCCTCGTAGTGATTTAGTGGTCACAAAAAACACCAGAGTATGCAATTTGCACTTTGCTGTGGACAGCATCATTTGGGAATCCACCTTCCATGACGAAAAGACATGTAGGACCATTACTGTACCTCTTAAGTATCCAAAATTGGAGGCAGATGCAATTCCAAGTATCTTTGCAAATTATCCAAAATATCTGTCAAAGGACATATCAACCAGAAGCCGAGATGAGAAATTGAGGGACAAGGAACAAGAACAACTACTTAAAGCACTGCAAAGTAGCATTGATGATATTATTCTTCCTATCAAAAATCAACTCGTTTTCAAAATTATTCATCCGATCGGCCTACTCCTGGTTACGTCACGCGTCTGTTGTCAGGCCTTGTACTCTCGGTGGTAACGGTCTAGAGCAATAAAAGAACACAAAAGTTCAAGAGAATAGTACATCCTTGGAAGAACGACTTGCCTAAATAAAATACATATTTTTGGAAACAATAAATATCATAAAATATCGAAAATAAATGGAGGGCACAGGGGAAATAGATGAATGTCACAAAAATGGTGTTTTGTAGTGTTAGAGCCGGCAACTTGTACCTGTACCAAATAAGGCCAAGCACCTAATAAGGCCATGCATCGATTTTACAGAAACTATTAACATTTAGAATTGAAGATTTCTGCAGTTCTACAAGTTTATTGAAAGCAGCCATAAATTCAGCAGCTGTGGAGCGGCGCTAGATGGCATGGTAGGACAGCGTCGGTTTTCAACATGTGCCTTATAAACTTTCTTTAAATTTGTCTCCTTTTTTGCATGTTGTCGGCTTCTTGTTAATTCAAACGGGTAAGTCTATAAGGCATATGCAGGTAGTTATTTGCTGTTTCCAGGTTTTGAATGTTTTCAATTTTGTAAATTGTATATTTAAGGTTAGATGTGCGTAATAAGGCCATGTTAAATGGTTCCCAGAAGATTAAAGACGAAAACTGAGACTGTTTCATATGCGATAAGGATGAAAAACGTGACATGCGGCGAATAAGTGTGTAGGCTTGTATAGTGGCGATAAGGTATCATTTGTTTGTCATGATGCGAAGGTAAAAACAAGTTGATATTTTTACTTGTAATCTATCTGGATTTAAGAACTATTTATTGTTGTTAATTAGAAATATAACTTCGTTTATTCATCAGTCTTCTTTTATATTTAAAACGTGGCTTTATTAAAAACCAGATCATGGCCTTATTTGGATACCTGGGTTCCTAATAAGGCCAAAGGTAGTTCGCGGAGCTCTCCGATACAGCTTATTCACTGAACATACCTATAATAATACCTTCAAAATTTCATGATCGTATCGCAAATATTTTTGACGTTACAGCTATCCAAACGTTAACGGGTCCTTATTTGGTACAGGTACCTTAGTCTTAACGCAGTACAATGCCATGAGGTATCGGAAACATGCAAAAATAATGACAGTTCGTGGTTATACCCAATTGAAATCTTGACGTACAGGGAAAAAAGATAAATGTCAAAGTCATTATATGACAAAATGGTGAGCCTCCACCGAAACTAGTAGCTACTACAAGATTTTACCATACACCAATCTGCGACGAAAGAAATAAACGTTTTGTAAGTAATCATTTTTAAGCAGTTACCATTAATTTTGTTGTTTGTTCTATATTCTTTTGAATAAAGATTTTTTCGGTTCATTGTTTTTTCCTGTCCCATTAAAAAAATAAATTCAGTGCTTGAGCTATTGAGGTTGGAAAACCACATTTTCCTCATCGTTCTAGGACCTGTGTTATAAATTTCCTGTTAAGGTATAGTCAACGCCAAACAAAGTGGCGTGCACGTCATCACGATAAAAATTCCCCGACCTAATGCCTAGGTTTCTATCACAAACAATTGCTCTATTGCAGTTTCATATTAATGTGATATATAAATTGTAAAATGGTCATTACTCTCTTATTATGGTTAATAGTCATATAAACATTGTTATTAAAATATCACATAAGTTGCTTTCTGATAAATTTAGACGCATTATGCGAAATAAAATGTTTTGCAAACGCTCCAATCACTTATCGACATGTAAACGCACTAAACCGATTTCGCAGCGTTGACACATTGTCACCATGAAACTTATTTAAACTGGGAACTGACATTTGTATTAATTTTGACACTGAATCAATTTGTGGCATTTCAAATCTTTATAAATCCTTTGGCCCCGCATACTGTAAATCAACAACTGTTTGTTTCAAAACAAAATTATTCATTTTACGAGTAGATAAAGGCAATTTTGGTATATAAAGATGCCCAAACAGTTAAATAGTCGGTGTAAGGAACTCGTGGCCTCGTTAATGCACTACTTTGAGCAAGAAAGGGACAACAACGGGCCTTTGTTGCCTTTAAATGCTGTTCAAGAGGTAGGTTACTAATAATTATATGTAATGTATATTAATAATAGTGAAATTTTATTTCATTTTTTGTAGCGTGTTGCTGCTGCTTTAAAAATTAGTTTAAGGACAGTTAGTCGTATTTCCGAGGGTGTGAAAAGTGATGCAAATTTAGAATCGCCCAAGAAAAAGCGGAGTTATATTAAACGTGTAACCAACACAGCGACATTGGATACAAGTGCAATTCGAGAAGTGATCTATAATATGTATCACAAAAGTAAGATCTTATTATAATAACTTATCAGAAATTTGCATTAATTTGTTAACTAAATTATAATGTCATATTACATATGGTTTCAGAAGAACAAGTTACGATACAAACTTTATGGTCTCGATTAAGAGATAGGGCATTATTTGATGGTAGTGCCACGTCTTTAAGGCGGTTGCTTAGAGATCTTGGATTTAAGTGGCTTAAGGACAATCCGCGACGAGGGCTCATGGAACTACCAAGTATAGCTTTGAAAAGGGTGGAATTTCTAAGGCAATACAATCAAGCCAAGGTTGAGGCCTTATACCAGTTTGTCTTCCTCGATGAAACTTGGATATTTCAAAATGGGGCCATAGGTCGCTCTTGGCAAAATGGAAACCAAAAAAGCGTGAAAGCTATTAAAACAGATGGTAAAAGGTATGTACTTTTACACAATTTGCACTATAAAATTTAAAACTAATATATTTTAGATACATTATATTACATGCTGGAAATGAAAATGGGTTTATTGAGGGTAGTGAAGCGATATTTTCTTCGAAAACAAAATTGAGCGATTACCATGGAGAGATGAACCAGGACAATTTTTTGAAATGGTTTCAACATCAGTTATTAGAAAAATTGGAGAGTCCATCTATGATTATACTGGATAACGCCCCTTATCACAGCATGATATTGAACAAAGTGCCCAACAATGCATGGACAAAAAAAATATCCAAGACTGGTTGACAAATCAAAACATACCATTTTTAAACACAATGTTTAAAACAGAGCTATTGAGTATTGTTGCTCGGTACATAATGCTTCTTAATTATATATATTTTGGTCGACAGTTTATATTTCTTTTGTTTATTCCTATTCTTAAAATAACTGCTTTTTTAGAAACAAACCACCTAAAATATACGTGATTGATGAATTGGCGGAACAACATGGGCACAAAGTTCTTCGTCTGCCTCCTTACCATTGTATATTTAACCCTATTGAGTTAATTTGGGGCATAGCAAAAGGTTACTATAACAGACATATTGGTAGAGATGGTAACAGTGAAAAAGACTGTTTGGATATGTGGAACGAGGCTCTACAAACGGTTACCCCAGACATGTGGAAAAATAGTGTTCGACATACTGAGCAAGAAATTTTTAAATGGTATGAAAGAGAACGAATTTTTGATCGACCAGACATCGAACCTTTAATAATCAACTTTGAGAGTGATGAAGATTCAGATTCAGACAGCGCTGAAGAAAGAAACTCCGACTAACTTTATTGTACAGAAAAAGCTTACACCAGTAGCTTACCTAATTTTAGAATGCATTTTTCTATATGAATTCTGTAAAATAAATACCATGCATAAAATTTGGAGGACCCCATTTGGATTTTTATTCAGTACCTTTAAGCTATCAATTAAATATGGTAGTTTCATAGTGTCATCTGATCAATAATTGTCATACTTAATGATTATGCAAGATCTATAATTTTATTATACTATTATTTTTGTTCTCATTTGAGGTTAATATTGCTTATAAACCTAGATATGTAAATAATAAATTTTATTATTTTACAAAAAGTTTGGCAACAATGTAAATTTTTCAACACACCCACTTTGTTTGGCGTTGACTATAGTTCTCATATTAGAACAAATCGTAAAACCTAAGATAGGCCTTTTCTAGGTTAATCAACCCGTAGATTTTACAGGGTGTCGCATATGACAAAAGGCTCATTTCCATCCTCAATATCGCAAAACAGTTGAATTCAGGCATGGACGCTAACACATAAAAAATATTTGAAATCATAAAGATAATCTCCAAATACAAAATAAACAGGAATTTCCATTAAAAAAATGTTTGGTCTGCATTCACTTGTGGGCTACCCTGTATATCAAAAAATAATTTTTATAATGTAACTTTTTTGTATTTCTTATAACAAAGAATCTATGATACTCCGTCAGATCTTTGACCTACCTTGTACAACGAGTTTAGGAGTCATCAAGCTTTTAAATTCACTTTTCTCGAAAGTTACTTTTTGTGGTATTCATCTTTCTCCCCTGTGCCATTTAAATGCAATGTGGTTTCCGAAATTCTTGTCATACAACAACAGCACTCGCTTGAATCGTCGATGACATTGTTAATTCACTAAATTGCGGTAAAGCTGTTTGCTTAATATCACTAGATTACAGTAATGCTTTTGATACAACTGACTACAGAATTTTGTGTGCCAAGCTTAAATATTATGCCCAACTCATGAAAACTTCCTTCCTGAAAGATATCAGTATGACCCCATTAATAACGAATTGTCTATTAAATGGGCTCTAAAATGGATGTACCCCAAGGCTCCATTCTCAGTCCTCTTTTATTTTCTATATTATTTTTCAAAACATAGCAAATGATACACAAATATCCTGAAACTTTGCTATTGACGATGTGGTTCCCTCTTTTAATCTAATTACCAACGATGGATTTACTTTTCAATATCTTAGCTACTCATAACTTGACACTAAACGCTA